TTCATTTGATAATAATAATCCGGAGACAGTAGAATAGACGAGAAAGTGGAGAAACATAACAAAATATATAGACCTGCAAACAGAAATACTGTGGCAAAAGAAAGCAAAGGTAGTACCAATAGTAATAGAAGCCTTGGGTGCAATCCCAAAACAACTAGAGCACCACTTGAACACCATTAGCATCGATAAAATCACCACTGCTCCATTGTAAAATAGAATGTTGCATCTTAACATTGCCACGTTTTAAAGTGTTCTAGGTTTTCTTGTATTCAGTCACTGATTATATTTGTGGGCTATATTTAGTAGTAGGCAATAACTGCTTTTTTAAAAAAATCACAGATTTAAAGAGTTTGCTGATATCAACAACCTCACTGTATTTCTTTAAACAAAGTACAAACATTTTGCTAAGGAAACAAGCATTATCACTGTTCATCCAGCAATATTTTCCATCTCTATATTTCATTCCAAGGAAGATATCATTCCACTTCAAGATTGTTTCTTTTTTTTGTTCCACTTCTGATTATATTTCTTTCTCATTTCTATTTCCTTCTTGCTGCTAAGAAAGGCTTCAATACATATTTTCTGCTGGGTGGGCACACGTTCATTTTTCTGATGGTTTCCAATTAGTCTCTTTCATAAAGCTATAATGTGGAGAGAACTGAGAAAAGAATCACTTGTAAAAATGGAAACGAATACCGCTAAAATGCCTATACGCCCCACCACCACTACCACGTTGCTACAGTATGTTTTTATAGTAAGGAATGAAGAAAGATACATTCTGAAGAATCATATTTTATTTAACACTGTTCCCCCATGTTTTATGCAGCATTAAACATGTATATATGTGTCTGGGGAAAGCTGGAGTGTGGAAATTTAGACACTTGTAGCTGCAATGTAATGGCTATCCAAACAGGGTGGGGTGGGGAAAATTTGACAAGAATGTCAATAGGAAAAAACACTACCCTCTAAACTACTGGTACATAGTTGAGTCTCCTAGTGCGCACACAAAGCATTTTAATTGAATGAGTAAAAAAAAGGTCCAACAGTGTTTTTGTAGAAACATTTAATGTTATTGAACAGGTAAATTCATAATTCAATAAGCTCAATAAGCATGATTGAGTTACTAATTTAATCCCCCAATCCATATGATGCTGAAATGCCTTGGACTCGACTTCTCTGAATTTAAGATGTGGATGCTATTTTGGGTTGGCAGAAATCAGAATTGGAAACAAAAGCTTGTTGGAAGTCACACATTCTGATTTCTGTAAAAAAACAAAATGGCGGTAGTTTCAGGTTTGAACTACAGGATAAGCCTCAGAATCTGGTTAAACATCAGACAACCATGCCTGTGTGTGTATAAGAAGCCATATTATGAGCATTATGTAAAATGCCACTTTCTTCAGAATCCCAGCCTAAACTCATCAAACACGGAATGTATCCTACAGTGGGGTCAGTTATACTGGATTCCCAGCACCTCACCATCGAGAAGACCTTCAAATGTAATGGACATTTGGCAGGGGAGAGCCTTTACTTTCCCTCCCCATTATGCACCAAGTGGCTTCCTACAGAACTGCAAAAGAAAAAGCTTTCCACTTGGTTCTGTTTATAGAAATGGGCCCATCTAATTGCTTGTGGAGGGACATGAAATTTCTCTGATGTACTGCTAAGGGATATGAGTATTTTTTAAAAGCCAGATAAACAAATAAAAAGGAAACGGGACAAGTGAAACTGTCCAGACATGACCAAGGTTATTTTTATAATCCGGTTATATTTCTTTTATATTAGCATGTAATATGCTTTATGTACCAATGTTTCAGTTAAATGCAAATGTGCTAACAAATTACCCATTCAAGTAAATTCTACTTTCTTCTACTGCACTGTTGCCATGAAACTCCACTCTGATGCATGTTTTTAGGAGGAAAAATATTCAGAGGGATTTATATAGTGTCAGTCTGGCTGGTTTTCCTCCCAAGGAAAATGAGAGATGCAGGGTTTCTAGATTGAAATGTGTTTGTCAGGGCTTCCTTGGTTTATGAATAGGTCATACAGTACTGCTTCCATGGCTACTGTGACAAACAATATTCAAGGTGGCCAAATGAAAGACTTCCTTCAAGGTATTGGAGTTCTGGTTTATAAATTCAACGAGTGAAAAGGCCTAATAAGCTTTGCATGGATAGATTTTGTTAATGTTCTGTTATTTTTCATTGAGGCAGAGATGCCAATTTCTTCAGGAGCTCAAGGACACATTGGATTTGGAGTGGACACATCCATCCAATGGTTTCCTAAAGGAGGAAAGAAACTATATATTCCTTTCAAGGTGAATTCCTACCTCCAGAGGTATCTATAATGACTATTTTTTAAAAATGACTATTTTTAAAAAAGTAATGCATATTACGAGAAAATGTTGATTATTGTTCCCTCCAGGGAAATATTTTTAGGCCAACTGAAAGGTCATAGATTATTTAAACTGTCAAATTTTCTAATCCTTTATTTTAAAATCTGGTAATGATTCTGTATACATTTGTAGAAATTATAGAACTGTTTCATTTATTAACATTGATATAAAGATATTGCTTTCTTGGCCAGGGAATTGTGGACCTCATCTTATATAATTTGCATGATACTCATCAAGGTTTCCCACTTTCCTTGTTACTTTTTTATTTAATTTTAAAATCATTAGCCATTGTAAATTGCTTCTTGGATCCAACAGTTTTATCTGCTTTTCCGACAGGTATTTATATTGCCACTCTGAAGCCAAAAGCAGACTTTTTCATAAACATTCAAAAGTAAGTGACATTCTTTGAGAATTATAAACTAACAAATTCAAAAGCCAATTTTATTCTAAAGATGTCAAAAGGAGAAAAAGCACAAAATAATTATCGAACAATACACATTGAATATATATATATATATCAATAATTCCTTTGTTTTTTTTGTGCTAGATCTTATATTTAATTGTGCCTTAGATAATGCAAAGAATGCAGTCTTTCAATTCTGTATTAAAATCCTCTTTCTCACTTTTTTGGTTAGATTATGTGTATTATTTAAAATCTCATTTAAAATGTAATTTCTTATTTTCTTTGAGAACTTCCATTATCCAGGCACTCAGTCATGGCCTATCAAGAAGAAATCTTTTTCTAAGGAAATATTCAAACCAGGTAAGCTATGTTAATATATATTTTAAAAAATCCAATGCAAAATCTATTTAAGTAACATTTATTCACCGTATTGTTCTGACAGTATATATTATTAAAATGATCTATCTATAAGAATAGGTTTCACCCATGCATTTTAGTAGCCTAATCAATGCAAAATTTAGAAAATGCAACTGTGGTGCATAAGACTAATATGAAAGTAATTCTAAGCTCTCTGATATAAATGAATAGAAGAAAAGAAGAAACTTGTTTCACTGGAAAACCCCATTAGGAATTGTTGAAAACTTTATAGTTGTTGTATAAAAGTAAAACGCCTAGGAAATTTATAGAACGTTTGACGTTTTTAAGCAAAGCATGGAATGTCTGTGTTATTTTAATGTTATACACCAGTGTCAAACTCACTTTGTCACGTGACGTATTGTGACTTTTTCCTTTGCTAAACCCGGTGTGGGCAAGGGCAACACAGGACACATCCAGCCTGAGAGCCCTGAGTTTGATAGGCCTGTTATATACCGCTCCTAGGTATTGTATATAATATCTAGACATTATACAGAATGACAAGAACTATTTAGGCAAAATATGAAATGAGAGCCATTAAATTGTGAGAAACTGACAGTGCATAGAATGCTTAGAAAAGGAGCCAAATATTAAGCATTTCATACTTTCATGTCCCATTTTTGACATTCTATAGATTTCCCAGGTATTCTACAAAATGCCTAGTACAGACATCATGTGCCTGATATCACAATAAAAATGACACTATCGAGATATTTTATACTTTGGTTTGCCTTTTGGCATTGCATAGTATACCTAGGAAATATGTGAAATATTAAATGCCTCATGCTTTGATATCCCAATATTCTATAAATTTCCCATTCTACAAAATGCCAAATTTCACACACTGAAGTTAACGGATATAAAAAATTAGTAATTTTCTTTTTAACATGATAAAATTCTTTATCTCAAGAAGTCACCCATACTGACGTCTTTGCACCATGTACATTGATTTGAATACCCATTGATCTTAACAACGATCATTTAATCTGTTGCCAGATGAAAAGACAATCTGGAAAAATCAGCAAGAAAGGATAGCATCCCAAAACGGAAGTGTTTTGGCTACTAGTACAGGGCTTGCCAGCAAAAGAATTATAAAGAAAATCCCAAAACAGAAAACTGATGCAACCAGATCTTCCTTTTGCACCCTGCTGTAATCATCACTGTAGGAATTCGAGGAAGCATAATTTCAGAAACATCCTGAGACCTAATTTACGCCTTTTACCCAGACTGCAGCATGATTGACAACCACACAATTCTTTAAAATGGCATTAAATAACCCAGAAGTCCTATTTTTTCGACAGCAGGCCTGATTTCATTCGAATCCCCTTATGTGCATTTGGCCAGAAGCGTGCCTAGGATCGAAGCTTAACTATAATTTGCTTCCTAACTAGTTAAGTTCCTATTTTTTCCTAATAAGGAATATACTGCTGCACCCGGATATTGCTCCAGCTTTCCCGCAGCGTTTTCAGAGCAGACACCAGCATTGTGCCCTAAAATTCTGGATTTTTTTTTTTTATCTCTGATCGTCGCTTAACAATCAGATTTTGCCACGTTCGCAGCGGAATAGGCGGTTCGTCATAGGGACTCTGGAAAGCAGCGAACAAGAACTCTTCGGCCCTTCCCGCGCAATTACAGAAGAAAAACCCTGGGAGGCCGAGCCTTCCGCTCCGTTCCCAAAGCAACGAGCCAAGAGCGAGGCACGTTCGTTATTTTCCGGCGGGCCCTGACGTCACATTACATTGCCTTGCGGGAGGCGTTCTCACTCTCGGCCCCGCCTCCGAGCCACCATCGAGGGAGCGCGAGGGGCGTCCTGACGTCACCCAATCCTGTGCGGTGTTTTGTCTGGCGGGGGGGAAAAAAAGGCGGGAGGTTGCCAGCTCCCCTCCCCCCGCAGCCTAAGTCCGAGGAAGACAGAGACCGAGCTTTCCTTGCCGCCAAATGGAGGCGCAGAAGGAGAACGTGCCGCGACGAGACCACAGCGGGGAGGAGAACGCGGAAGCCCGCGAGGCCTCGGTGAGTCTTCCTTTGCGGCTGCGCAGTTTTGCCGTCAGGCTCTAGCTGCTTGGCGCCCAGAGAACCGACCGTCCCGGCTGGAAAGCTCTTTCCGTCATCGGTCGAAGGGCTCAGAGCTCCTCCCTCGGCGAAGGAGGGGCAAGCGGCGCGAGAGACTGAAAGCCATTGGACCGCGGCGGGAAAGCGCTCGCGCGCCCCGGTGAATCGGGGTCTCCCGCGGCGTCCTTATTGTTTTGCCCCGCTTTAAGTTTGTCGCGGGGCGGTTGCACGAGAGCGAGTGCCCGGTGGCCCTGGGCCTTTGAAGAAGACTTGCGCTTATAAAGGGGGTTTTTGTGTGTGTGTGTGTGTGTGTGTGTGTAGTCCATTGAGTTTCTCGTCTTTCTACTTGGGCTTTGTATCTAACCAAGATGGATCGCTGCCCAAAGGAGGAATCGGTGCTCAAACAAAGAAATAAACCCAACCTCGTGACACTTCCAAGGGGGATAGGGGTGGGTAGCGTTACTAATTAAAAGGACTTCATGTTTTGTTTTGTTTTTTGTTTTGTTTTGTTTTAATCGCATGGACAAACAAGATGACAATGCTTTTGCTTGGACTGTTAGTAAAAGCGACGTCAGTGAGGCAAGCTGTTTGTGTTACCTGGAAATACCCCAGAAATCTTGCATTGCTACTGTACTGGGAAAAAAGAAACTCTGGTAGTTTGCCAGTATTGGGACTGGGATGTATGTTGCTAAGTGGTGCATATTACTTAGCAATTGCAATCCTTGCTGGTCCCAGTTGCAATTGTAACTCCAGATGTGTAGGCCTTTAAGTGGGAAATAGTAATAGCACTTAGGCTTAAATATTGCTTCACAGTGCTTTACAGCCTTCTCTCTGCGGTTTTCAGAGCCAGCATATCGCCCCTCAATATGGGTCCTCATTTTACCAGGGTTGGAAGCAGTAGTGGGGTTCAAATATTTACTACCCGGTTCTGTGGCTTGGTGGGCGTGGCAGGGGAAAGATACTGTAAAATCTCCAGTCAGAGGTGGGATTTGCCGGTTCTCCAAACTACTCCAAATTTCCGCTACCGGTTCTCCAGAACTGGTCAGAACCTGCTGAAGACCACCTCAGGATGGAAGGCTGAGTCAACCTTGAGCCAGTTAGGATCGAACTCCTGGCACTGGAATGCAGAGGTAGCCTGTGGTACTGCATTCTAACCATGCACCACCATGGCTCTGGTGGGAGTCCCAGGTAAGGGCTGTAGGGGAGGCCCAGCACAGCCTGCACATGAGTTGAGGCTGCAATGTGGTGCAGGTTTAGGGAGGTCAGGCATAGGAGGCATGTAATCCTGGTTCTCCAAACTGCTCAGAATGTTAATCGATTCTAGCAAATAGGTGTGAACCTTTAGAATCCCACCCCTGGTCATATGGCCATTATGACTACCGGTATACGCCAAGACACAAGGAATACTGTTACCTTCCCATCAAAGTGGCACTTATTTATCTTGGATTTGCATTCTTTTGAATTGCTAGGTTGAAACCAGCTGGAGCAAGAACAGGAGCTCACCCTGTCACACAGTACCTGAGATCTCAAACAGCCAATATTCCAATAACAAATCTTTAAGCTTAAATATATATATAACAACCTGTAAAAATAATGTAAGGAAAATGTAGCAAAACACTGATGCCTACCATATGTTACAATTATAAAATTTAAAATAAAATAGCATTGCCTTTGGGCCTGTTTTGAAATGTTGCTAAATCCCATAACAGTGGGAGTTATGCTCATCTACAAGGTGCCATGTTGATGAACAAGTAGGAAATTTGACTAATTGATGGGCCATAAACAAGATTAGGCTCACATAATAATTATGGTAACAGGTTCCCTTCTTTAAAAGAATGTATTTCAAAAGCTGGATGTTGGTAAGTGAATAAATTACAGCTCTCAGTATATGTGAGGGCTTTTTCAATATAATACTACGATCATTCCTGCTTTTGGACAGCTATCCAATGTCATTGTTTCTAGATAATGTTGAATACGATTATTTAAACTTTTGAAGTTAAAGACAATTATAACTATCACAACTTTTTCTTATACAGACTTTCTGTCAGACTAAGCAGTGCTGCAAGTTTGATTTTCAAGAAGAAAATAAAAAAACTAATTCAAGTGATTTCAGCGATCCGATTTACAAAGAGATTTCTCTGACAAATGGTTATATCAATAGAATGAGTAGAGAAGAGCTGAGAGATAAGCTTGCTGAATTCAGACTTGACACCAGGTAATGTGTGAGTTGCATACATTTTCTGATGTATTTCTTACTACGTATGTAAATGTAGAATTAATAAAGTCACCACTTCTGGATTTCTTTTCTGAGATGCTTTTATCATTTGCAGAAAGAAGGAACTGCACATTATGAATAATTATGTCTTTATCATTGGAAGAGTTTGTTGGCAGAGAAGGATTTCACACTGAAGAGTCATTAAGCAGATTTTTCAGTATGAAATCTTGCACAAAGTTGTGATGCTAGAATTTGCATTGTAGCATTACATACCTCTCCATATCTTCCATTAAAGGGGTACATGGAAGAGGCTCCAGGTGAATTTTTTGGAGAGGCTCGCCTGATGGGGAAAAAAAATAAAAAATTCAGTGAAAATTAAATTGAAAAGATTAAATAAGATCTTATGTGAAAAAAAAGGGAACCTAAATAGTAGAAGAATTCCTTCTTCATTGAGAGGTTTGATAACAGAGGCCCCAATAACAAGCATTCCCTGAGATAATGTCTGTCTTCCTAACAGCCTGACTCCTAGGCAAGGAAGACCCCTACCACAATGGCCTATCAGAGGCTAGACCTGACTTTTCTAGATGGTGATTGGAAACACAGGCCTATATAAATTTGTTGTTTTATATGTACATACAGTACAATATTTTGTTTTAATGATTTGACATCATCCCAAGAATCCACTTGGACTGAGACAATGAATAAATTGCATACCTAAATTAAAGTTGGAGCAAGGAGAAGATTTAAAAAATACTTTGCGATTGGTGGTGGTTTAGTGATAGAGTGTAGGCTTCGCACACAAATTAACCACTTGTGATTCTCGGCATTTCCAGGTAGAGTTGAAAGAAACAATTGGGCATCTAGAATTCCCTCTCAGCTATAATTGACATTACTGGAGTTAGGTAGAACTATGGTCTGACATTTTAGAAAATAGCTTCCTGAGTCAGTTATGTAATGACATCACAATTTTGTAATATATGTTTTTTGTAAATAGCATACAGGACAGTGTTCCTTCTGTTCTCTGTCCTAGAGACCATTTAAATCATCTGAAATGTAAATGAAAGGGTTACTTGTTTGTGCAGAAATAACTGTTCATATCATTGCAAACAAGTAAAAACTGGAATACATTTTGTCTAAAAATAATCTCCTAAATTTCTTAAAGACATAGGGAATTTTATAATTCTGTCAAAATGTTTCTGTTCATGTTTTATCTCTTAGTGGAGAATTACACAGTAGGAGCAACTTCCTTTTGAGACTAGTTTGATGCAAGCAGATCAGAGTAGGTAATTCTTGTCATTTCGGTTGGAGGAAGTTATTAAAAACAGGACTGGCATTTTAATGGAGAGATAATGTCCAAATGGATTAGGAGATGCTACATTTCTGTTCTAACTCAGCACTATATTAAAATATCCTAGAAATAAGCACTTTATTTTACAGAGGAGTAAAAGACGTATTAAAAAAGAGGCTGAAAAACTACTATAAGAAAGAAAAATTGATGCACAAGCAGCCTCCAAATGCAGAAGATTACTACAATTATATCTGTGTTATTGACTTTGAAGCAACTTGTGAAGAAAAAAATCAGCCTGAATTTACCCATGAAATAATCGAATTTCCTATTGTTTTACTAAATACACAGACATTACAAATAGTAAGTATTCCTGTCCTACTTGATTACTGTATAGTTTAATAAATTCATTAGAAATTGAGTTTTGCATTTTGAAAATAGATAGTGAATCAAAGGTATTATGTTGCCTTGTGTGCAGTCTAATCAACAAATTAGGCAGCTTATGACTGGCATCTTTTTAGATCTTAAATTATGTCCACAAGAAAATAATTACTGATATATGTTTGCTGCTAAATGTACAGGCGTTTTGTGCAAAAAAAAAGAAAACTTCCCTTTTCTCTTGCTAAGTGGAACAAGCATAACAGAAGTAAATGCATGGCTTGATTCCCACAAGTAGACAGTTTGGGAAAGGGAAAATGATTTTGGGTGAAAGACGACAAAGAATAATCCAAATGCCCTGTGCTACTCTTCTGCTCTAAATGATACCACCCTGAGACTGCTTTTCAATTTGTTTTTAAAATGTTGAGTCTAATGTTCTGCAGGTATTTAACACGGATGCAGTTGCATATCATACTAAACCATAAAGCTTAGCATAAATGTGCATGCTCATGCTCCTTAGTTTTCTGCTAGGGAGTGTGGCTAGCAAGTTACCCATCATTTGTTGTTTGTTTAGAATTAATCATGCTGTTTCAATATAGGCTACATTCCTAGCAGAATTAATTCAAAAAAATGGGAAAGGCTTGTGTGGAGTGGCTTATGGTTGTGCTCTCTGATTTGTTTTGGTTGGAAAGAACCTAGTCTGCGTCCTGTATTCACACAACATGCGATACTTTTAAAAAGGCATCAATAGGTGGTTCACTGGCTATGCTGGTTAGAGTAAGGAATCATCAATTGTGGATATGATGTGCAATCACAGATGTATCCCTATGACATAAGGTGGGACTTCCTGTATTTTATCTTCTCATAGCTGTCCAAATACAGTGCCCCTAATATACTCTAATATACCATTCCTTATGGGCTGCTCTGTGTTACAACTCTTGGCACTCTTTGTGAACCTGAACCTGAGGTGTAAGAAAGTCTTTAACCACAGCAGCAGGAACAGCAGAATATCCTACCTAAAGCACAAGTATGGTACTGCAGTACTTGTAAGGTTCAAATTATTGTTGTTGCTGTTTTTTTGTTGTTATATACATGTTGTTATGTTTGACTGATTGTTATTCCTTTGGTTTAATGAACTATGTAAGGAGCAGTCTGTGTTTTGTCTATATCATCATGATATGGCCTATATTAAACTTCAATTTTGTAGGAAGACACTTTCCAGCAATATGTGAAGCCAGAGATTAATCCTCAACTTTCAGATTTCTGCATTAATTTGACGGGAATCTCTCAGGTAAATTGCCACACACTTCACTCAGTAAGCAAAACCCTTTTAAAATATTAAAGGTTTAGGCATTAGATATACTCCTAATACCTGACTACAAACATAGCATGTAAATATGGTGTGCTCAGATCTAAGCTTCCGGATTTCTCTTTTTTTTTTACAGATTTATTTCTTTTAAATCAGTACCACAGTGCAGTGCTTGTGATAAAGAGATGTATAATTATTCTGTAGATTAAAATTCTGAGTTTCTCTGAGCAATTATTTGAGCAAAATTGAACACGTTATCATTTCTAACACCATACTAGTAGCAATCACTATTGATTTGGCTGGGTCAGAGGCAAAAATCTAATGTCCAATCAGTGTTCTATGCACTTGGACAGCCTGCTTGTATATAATTGGTAATACAAATTGTTTTAATCAGGGGTCCCCAACCTTCAGTCTGTGGACAGGTATCGGGCTGTGGCATGCTAGAAACAAACTGCAAATAATCAAAACGCCATCTGCAGGATGCAGGCAGCATGCAAAACCATGTCCCCTCTGGTCCACAGAAAAAGCTCTCCCCACGGAACTGAACCCTGGGTCCCAAAAGATTGGGGGCCACTGGTTTAAATGGTACATCGATTGATTAGTAGAGGGTACTATGCAGATAGTCCTCGACTTATGACAGTTCATTTAGTGACTTTGGAGTTACAACCACACTCTTTTGGGACCTTCTGACAGGCAAAATCAATGGGGAAGCCAGATTCATTTAACAAACATGTTACTAGCTTGACAACTGCAGTGATTCACTTAACTGTGACAAAAAGGTTTTAAAATGGGGCAAACTCACTTAGCAACTGACTCAGCAAAAGACATTTTGGGCTCAACTGCGGTCATAAGCTGAGGACTACCTGTAAATCTTATGAGAGTTCTACGCAGATGAAGACTGCTTTATTGCCTCCTTATGGCCAGCTGCAGGAATAATGCAAAGATTGCTTGGTGTCTTCAAGCTAGTTACATTCTTAGTAGCTTAGTAAGTTACAAACCGAGTTTTGTACAGTACCAGAAAAATGTACATTAATAAATGTTGGTTTGTAATGATTTATTAGGTATTGAACCTGATATGGAGCAGTAGACATTTTAGATGTTTTTGAGATAAAGGCCCTTAATGTTAATGTTAACTTGCTACTGCTAACTCTTTTCTTATACATTAGTTAGGCTCCTAACAAAAACATATTTCTCCACCATAAAGTCCATATTTCTTCCAGTTTCCCAAGCTGAGAAGGGATGGAAAAAGAGGGAAATAAAAGAAGAACCAGAAAGATAGGGTGGTTGCAGGATTTTTGAAAATACAACTTGCAAGAGTTGGATCCAGGAGATCCCCCCCTTCCTTCCTGCTCCCCCCTCCCCCCAGCCATTAAAGAATATTAGGCATAGGATGCAGATACTGTAGTAGTTATAAAGAAGTTTTCTCACTGAATGTAATAAGAATGAATATAGGATATTTTGTTGCATTAATAGTTAATTATAGAAAATGAAAAAGTGTGGTAGACTTAATAATATGACTTGATAGAAGTCCTCTTTATATTATTCTCACATTGCATAATTAATACTTGAGTTTCTTAATATATAGTAATTGTATTTTCATTCATAATATTTCTAGGAACTGGTAGAGAAAGCTGATGAATTCCCAAAAGTGCTGCATCGTGCTGTAGACTGGATGAAACAAAAAGAACTAGGAAGCAAATACAGCTATTGCATATTAACAGATGGGTATGTGTTGAGGACAGATATACATATGTTCAGTTGGATGAAACATATTTATTTTTTAATTGCAACCATTAAATTATGTCAGTGTTCTTAAACTATTCTTTAGCTTTGACAGAATTGTATTTCTGGAGCTCTTCAGTTTAGTCGTATTTGCAACAATAAGCTAAATAGGATGCTGTGATTGGAACATCAGAACACCTTGGATCTTTTCCCTGCTTGCTGCACCACTTGATTAGAATAAATATTTTCTGTTCTGAAAAGGTTATAACAAATTTGCTTTAATTAAAATCCAGAGCGTAGTAGATTACAATTTGTTGAATTCCAGAAAAGTAATCTGCATAGGTACTGAACTCATTAACATTCATACATAGCATTGAAGTCAGCTGTTGTATTCAGTGCCTATACACAAGCAGGGGATTATAAATATGCTAATTTTCTGTTTGACAAAGATAGCTGAAGAATGACTTATTTGCAGAACCTTACAAGGGAGTACATTCATATATCTGTTCATTATTTAATGTTTGGGCCATATATTTTACATTTTAATAAGTATCATGAGTAACATGAGGCAATAACAAATGATAAAATCACAGTATAATTGTACAAGTTAATGAATTATAAAACTAATGAAAATGTCAGAAAACAAATCAACAGCATGGAATAAGACAATATTTCCACGAGAAAATTTAGGCAAATAAAATTCTATAAAATGCATATTTGGGCCACTTAAAATGGAATTTAACAATAGTGTTACTAGAAATAATGCTGATGGTCTGTTTAAAATTTAGGGATTCTCAAAAAAAGATTTACAAATTGTTTCAGAAAAATTGGAGAAATACTCAAAAAAATATCCAAATAATTTGCAAAAAAAGCTTAAAAGAACCTCCTGATGAAAAGCTAAATTGGCATCCTTAAATTTGTTTGCTTCTTTGTTTGTTAAAGGTCCTGGGATATGAGTAAATTTTTAAATATCCAGTGTCGTATTAGTCGTCTGAAGTATCCTTCTTTTGCTAAGAAGTGGATTAATATCCGCAAATCCTATGGAAACTTCTACAAGGTTTGTTGTCTGCTTGTTTCCTGAAATATTCAGATTCTAGTTGAGAAAAGTAAACATTCAGAAATGGGGTTATAATAATTGGCAACTTAATGAATTTATTTAAGTGCTGTGGCTAGGACAGTAATGGCAAATCTTTGGGGCTTGGCATGTCAAAAACTCAGAAAATACATAAGTTCATTCTGATAGCATGTCACATACATACACATTTAAAAAAAGAGAGAAACAATTCTCTATTCACCCACCTACCCCACATCCTGAACATTGGCACTTGGCAGCAGTGCTAAGGCTGGGCCTGAGTTGAGGTCTGACCTCAGCTTCAGCCCTAACCTACGCTATCACTGAAAAAGGCCACTTTGCCCCATTCCCATTCCTCACCTTCCAAAAATTGTGCTTTTGAAAGTAGTTTTTGGGTGTTGGTAAATTCTGGCATAAATGCTGGTGCGTTATCCAGTGATGTATCAGATTTGACACTCATGTTACAGGTTTACCATCACTGAGCTAGGAGAACAATATAAAGTTTGGGTTAAAGATTTCCCCTACTGAGATCTGTATGGCTGTATGGAGTTTATACTGCCCTTTATTAGCCCTTCTGCAACCCCTAAAAGGGATGCCTTCTTTTTTTATATTTTTGAAGCCATTTTAATCAGGGAAATAGATGCCTTAAGCATCCCTCCCATTCTGGTGATGTCACTAGATCACTCCATGTAACTTCAAAATACAGACAATTCTCACTTACTGATCACAATTGGGACAGTAACTCCATCACTAAATGATTATTAAGTGAAATGTCATGTGATTGTGTGGAACTTTTGATGTCAGTCCTACTACAGTTATTAAGTGAGTCAGGTCTCAAGGACTTAAGCAGGTTCTTAAGCTCAACATCATGTGACTGGCATATAACTTCCTTCTGGCCTTTGTATTGACTTTGCTTGTCCAAAGCCAGCTATGAAGATCCCAAATGGAAATTGCTTGACTGTAGGACGCTGTGACCATTGTAAATGAGCACTGGTTGCAAACTGCTTGAATTGGGATCACATGATCATGGGAACACTGCAGTGGCCACAACTTAGGGAATTGGTCATAAGTCTCCTTCACTGTTGTAACTTCAAAGTCGGTTAACTGAGGACTAGCTATATTGAAGAAGACCATATGGGTTTTATGTAGAAGCACTCATGAAACTCAGAATCTGAATGTTGCCTTTTGTTGCCCATTCTTGATTTTTCTAGAACTACAGCAACTGGAAAAACAAACCTATAAACATTCTTTGGGGCAATGGGCATTATTTGAAATGTGACAATGAGTCCTATGTACTCTTATAACACGGGCGCCTTGAAGGACATGGCCTGTTGTAAAAGATCCCTTTGTTGAAGGAAAACTGGTTCTCTTGCTCTCCACCATCCTTCCCAGTATTTCCCTCCAGGATATGCCCTTAATTGTCCAGCTTTATCTTTTTTTTTTAGTCTTCTTTGGTGTGAGTCGACATACTTTCAAATAAAACCCTGGACTATAGCTACCCATCATTTTTGTTTTCTAAGAACGCCGAAATACCTGGATTGGCACAGAGACATTCTCAGAAACAAAAATGGGAAATGGTTTGGTATGCCAAATATTGTCCTTCTTTTATTTATTTAAATAAATTAAGTTTATTTTAAAATTACACCTCTTCATGTAGGAAATCTGCTGCACTTCAGAGCATAGCTGGAATATGCAAGAGCCCATTGCTATCTCACATATGTGAGCAGGAGTAGAATTTAGAGCAGCTAGTAATGTAGACAGATCGATACTGCATTTCTCTTCAGTCTGCATCTCCTCAGAATGATTCAATTCATTTTCCAGGTTCCTAGATGCCAAACAAAGCTGTCAACCATGTTGGAAAAACTTGGGATGGACTATGATGGACGGCCTCACAGTGGGCTGGATGATTCTAAGAACATTGCACGAATAGCTATTCGAATGCTTCAGGATGGATGTGAACTCCGTGTAAATGAGAGGTTGCACGGCGGGCATCTGCTAGCAGTCCCTTCCTCAACTCCAATAGAGGGCGCTCCAATCCCACAGATGCCCAGATTTCGATAAATGTTAGGAAGTGAGTTACCCTGTCTTCAGGGCCATATTCTTGGTATTCAAAAGCCATTTCAGAGAGTTGAGTTTTTAAAGGGGGCTCTATCCCCAGTGTAACCCCTTGCAGAAATATACAGATCACGGAGTACCCACTGAAAGTCTCTCTTAATTTAACACTCTAAATTAGTCATGCTAAGTTTCATTTTAGTTTTCCAAGAAATGTATATGCTTATTAAAATGGTTTTCTCTGAAGTAAAGTCAAACCAAAGTATAACATTTGATCTGCAGATATAACAGTAATAAGATGTTTAACGTAGTTGAATACCATGGGGAATGTATCTTTGCTGATCTTTTCTTTTACTATTTAATGTACCAGGAAGATCTATTTGATTTCATGCCACAGTGACCAAATTGTTTCCTGGTATGTGTTATTTTGTCTGGGTTTGGTAAATTCTTCACAAAGGGGATTTGTTTTTTTAAGTTTGATCTTCCTTACCCAGTTGATAGAAAATTCCAGTAGTAATACATTTTTTGATGTATGTATTGATGTTCTAAGATTGTTGAGAGGCCTGTTGAGCCAATATTAGTTACCTTTTAGCCTCATTAAATTCTGATAGCAATTTAAGCATTTCACTACATTTCTATTGAAATAATGGAGATGTGTTTAACAAGAATTATTGTACTTTTTTCCTTCCATTACATATACAAAAGCATGGTGTAACTTGCTTTAATATCCTTCCCCAGCATTGTTAAAAAAACAGAGAAGCAAATTATTTCTGTAATAATTTAAGCTTTGGCGTGGATTTCATGCCAATATTTCATACAATCAGTCACTTTCCTGTATGCCAACCTTTGTTTTGATATTTCAACTTATTTTTTAAAAGGTTTGCTTTAATAAATGCAATTTATGTTTTTAATGTTCTGAACATTACACAGCACGGCACATTTTAATATTTATTGCACAAGTGTTACAGATTTCTTACTTCAAACTGGTTTGTTACATTTTGCCACTTTCATGGGAATTCTGTGCAAATTGTTGCCTAGAATGTTGTGAGGGGCTGGATGACTGATTCAAGTCGACTAGTGACTTTTGGTCTAAACAAGGATTCAAGCCCATCTTTTATCTATTATACCTCACAGTGGCTGTGTACAGTTTATATAGTTTGGCACTGTATGCATCATGGTTTTTCTCCCGAAAGCCCATTTTGTAAATATTCTGCTTTCTTGTAATCTGCCCAGAGCAAAAATGATTTGAATTTACACTTTCTGCTGCAGCCTGCAATCTTAATATTCTTTTCTACTTTAACACTTTAAATCATGTGTTCCTACATGTGTAAAATCATTTCTGCATGTTTTGTTCATGGAATTGGGATGGTTTTGAAAGACTATGACTAGTTCATACATTGCGATAGGTAAAAATAGGCATGACCATTTTATGGACCAGTCAGTCCACATTGTTTATGACTCAATGAACCCAGGCTTTTGGGTGAAACTACTAAAACTATGTCAGATGTTGTATGGACACAGGTTAAGCTTTTGTTCTCGGTCAACTTTTTTCCACTGCACAACTAGCAATTCATCTTCTGGACACTTTAAATATCAGCTTTTGGGATACTATAAAAGTCCATGCTCTTTGGAATACAGTTTGTATATTTTTACTTTAAAACAAGGGTTCAATCCACTGTAATCATTTGTATTCAATTTAATGTGTTATGTCTGTCCAATAAAGGTACTTTGTAATGTCATCCCATAACTCCTCTGCCCATTCAAAAATGGATTGTGGAAACAGATAGAAATTTTGGCTGGTTGTTGCGGCTGGAGTTAAGACAGTGGACAACACTGAAGGACCATCTGGGGCTGCATTATGATCTCTTCCTGTGTATGCATATATGTTGGATAATGGTGCCAGGAGCCACAAGAAATACCAGTAACTTATGAACGTTTTAGTTACAAATTGCCAAGCGATCACAAATGGCCATAATATGGAGATTTCTCCAATGCACAAGTCCTACTTACTGATAATTTTTTTGAATTAGTTAATTAGTATGCTGCATGGCACACTGACCGACACTACCCAACCACGCTTTGACCTAATTATTGTTGGATTAAAGATGGATTTAGTAACCTTAATCAAATTAAACAGAAGTATGTTTTGAGAACATAGCCATTGAATACCCCAACAATTTACATGGAAATTTTGGGGGGATCTTATAGAATAATTGATTAGCCAATCTAGGGAATAGATCAATCTTTGGGTTGATTCAGCAGGACTTGTTTTCCTATTCTTTTATAATCACCTTCAGAATTACGTAACATTACATTCTTGAATGAAGGATATGATATTACTGGATGGGAACACCAAAGTAGAAGAAGTTGAGAAATTTCAAAGAATTCTGATATAGAAGGTCAGTAGAACAAGGCTAATAGATTGCAAATGGGATCCCTAGTTGGGTATATTGTGGGAACATAGTTTTTTTTAAAAAAAAAAGTTTGTTCAAGAATAGCCTTGCTTTATCTCTTCAATTTGTTACAACATCCTTATCTACAAACATAATTCAGCCAAAGTTAAGTAATTTCTTAAATAGAACTGTTAAGCATATAGATAAATCTCTCAGTGGACCCAGTGGATGTAAATATTTCAAAATTGGAATCAACTGTTAAAACATACTACAAACATTGGGCGAATGAGAAAAAATGTTTGCATCATATCTCTATCAGTTTTGTACAGTTTATATGCACTGATTGGATCTCCTTTAAATCCAGAGGGGAATTTATATCTGGTGTGCCTCTGGATTATTCAGTTTCAGGCCATTATAAAAAAGGCACTTAGCAATAGAACAACAACAAAAATTCCAACCCAATAAAATAGTGCTTAAAACAATATATTTTAAAAAGTAAAAATCATTTTAATATAGTAAAAGAAAAACAACAGGCAGTGTAAAATGTCCAATTCTGATTAATTGCTCAATTATAAATTCCTAGCACATCTTCAGTTGTTTTCTGAAAAAGGACAACATGGGGAGAGGCTAGGCAAACTTCCCCTGAGAAAGAATTCCATAATTGGTGAGCTACCACTGAGAAGGCCCCATGCGTCATTGAACTCAAGCCATCAATGGGAAAGTAAGTTATGCCTCTGTTCAGGATGTAGATGCACAGTTTTGGGTGATACTGTGCAGGAGTAGCAACAAATGATACTTCTAGTCATTAGGGCTTTACAATCCCAAAGCGGCAACCACCATACATATGTTGACTGGATAATGGAATTGTAAAGAAAGTGACTGGAGAGAGGGGTCAGAAAACAGCGTTGCATAAATAAATAAAATGCCTTGGTTTTTCAAGAAAGTTTGATATGAAATAAGATACGGAACTCACTTAATGATTACAACATTAATTAATTAATTTCAATTTTTCAACTATAATACTACAGGTCTCTTAGGGCAGTGCCCATATCCTATAGCCGTGGAGAAGCTGCTAAATGATATATTACAGAATGCACTTAAGATGCAGATTAGATTCTTATTTAGTAGTCAATGATCTATATTCACCTTTCTTTCTAGAATTATATTATTTCAGGAATAAGCTGCAAAACTAAGAATATCCCAAACCTATGCATTCTCGAGTGTAGGAAGGCATTTGGCCATTTTGATGTGTTGTCAGCAGTTCTTCTTGGGATTGTTGAAAAATTGCGTTTTAATAGCAGTATATGCCCTTGTGCAAGGATATGAAACAATAGGTTATGTGTTGCTCTCTTGTTTGTTCCGTCTATTGGGATTTACATAGAAAATGTTCTCACGCTTACACTGTATTTTGTTTTCCAGAACAACATTTGGTTATGATACGTTCTATCTCCTCTCAGACAAAATTGAACCTTTTGATGATAAAGTGGCCAGGATTTGGTGGTCAGCTGTGAAGATTTTTGGCTTGTTTATCTTCATCATTCTGGGGTGTTTGTGGACTTAATGATCTTGGTTGGCCTTATTTGTAGCTGAAATAGTATGAGAATGCCTGAATTGGCTGATTTGGTATTATCATTAGTTAGCTTTGTAATTAATATACTTAACTCTCCAAGATATCTAGGAGGTAATAGACTTAAATCAAGTTAGGGAAATAAGTACCGGTAGTGGTGCCTGGATTTGTTCCAATGAAGAAAAAATATGAAGGTGCGTAACAATTTTTGTTTCAAACCAAACTAAAATAAGTGTCCCTCATGGCCCTCTTGGTCATGATCACTTCTTCATTAGAATATTATAATGGCAGTTGCCCTTGAAGACTTCTAGGAAGCTACAGCTGGCCCACAATGCACCAGTGCAGGCAGTCACGGGCATGTGGCAGTATGCATATCTGTTCCTGCTGCTTCATGAACTGAACCCATTGCCAGGTAGTTTTCAGTGCAGTTCAACGTGCTGGTTATCACTTATAAAGCACTGCATGGCAGAGGGGCTAGTTACTTGCGGGACTGTCTCCATCTGTTTCTGCTTGTCCAATTAGGACAGCTGGAATTGGCACATTTCAAGTCCCATTAGTTACGCAAAGTTATCTTGAAAGATCTAGGAAGCATGCCTTCTTGGTGGTGGCTCCTGCCCTTTTTAACGATATTCCACTCCTGTGACTTTTTTTCAGTCTATTTAGATCCCGCTGTTCTCCCAGGTCTTAGGTTAGGATGGTGAATGAAGCCCTTTAGGTTTTTGTTTGTTTGTTTCTTTGATCTGTTTCCTATCTTCTGGCACATTTTTCTGATATGCTTGGTTTTCTTTTTATTTGTAAACTGCCCAGAGTTGCTGTGGAATTGGGTGGCCTCAAAACTGAAATAATAATAAATAAATGAAAATTAAAGAAAGATATCTTTCTTTAGAACCTAAACCCAAGCATTTTCCACATGAAAAAAGGAGGAGTTGTGAGCTCTTTAAAAGGTAAGGGATATCTTGACACTGAAAAATGAAGGATAAAGGTGATTGAGCTATTTCTCTCTTCTCTTGTACAACACTAGAACAGCCCAAACATAGAAAGGAACAATTGTTTGAGATACCAAAATCTCAGAAGCCTTCCTTTAGTGTTTGGTGTAATAGACAGCCAGTTCCTTTGCCTGGCAATTGAGCAAGTCCGTTCTTTAACCTGTACACTTCAACATTAATTCACTAACAGATTCTGAAATAACCCTCAGTACATCAACATAAGATTGTTATAAGTCTGCTCAGTTAAGATTTCTGGAAACATTTTCAGAAATTTTAGTTGGCTCTGATAGAAGAATTGCCATTCTGTGATGTTTGTTGTTGTTTCTGGGGTCACACTCTTCCATCGCCCTGAGCAAATGTGTGTCATGTGTTGCAATTTAGAGGGCAAAAAGGAAGAAATACTTAGTTTAACCCAGTAGCGTTCTTTTGCATTTTAGACTACAGTGTCTTAAATTTACTGTGGCACTGTTCCATGATGTATGCATGGTTCAATTTCTATATATAGTTTTGCATAATTTCTGGCAAAATAATTCAGTTTAATATGCTGTCAAACACTTTTTCCGTGCTTATCTAACATACTTCAGCCTGCTTCCTCCCATTGTACCAGTTTCAGTTTGTTTCTACTGTATTGTTCGAGGGTTCTGATGAATTTGACAAAGCAGAAAATATTAAACTTAAGTTGTTTGGGAGAACATTTCTCTCTAACTTTTAATTAAATCATTCTGCTTGCTAAACAAGAAGATGCCCAAATATGAAATACGTTTTGCAATCTTTTCATTACTAACCATTCCACCTCCTTCCCTTTATTAAAAACATTTTCTTAAAAATTATACTTACACCGTTAATAAAATCTTTAAACTTAAAACAACTGAAAAAAAATGAGAAAAAAAGACAATCTCACCCCCCCCCAAAAAAAACAAATTAAAAAAGAAGGAAAAAACTCTTCCTTTATACCTAGTGAATATGACATGATCATATTACACTAATATATTCACTACGTATAAAGATAGGGTTTTTTCCTTCTTTTTTTAGTTTGTATTTTTCATTACAAAATATTGTAAAATATCACAAACTCTCTGCCATAGAACGCCATTGCTGCATTCCCCTTCCCTGAAAGATGGATATCCGGCTTTTATCAAAAGCCAGGCACCTTCCAGCTAAATAGATTTAATCTGGGCATTGCCACCAAAATCCTAAAGAGGGACGTTTTAGTGAAGTATGAAATATACATATTTATAATTTGAAAGTAACTTCTAGTTCTTTATTAATGGAATTCTAAATTTTTATAGCATATCATTAATTAACATTTTAGGAAGCAGGGGATCAGGAGGCTGTATGAGATTGGGAGATCATGAATTGGCCATTTCTGCTCAGAAGAAAGTCTGTTCCATACCTGCCTTCTGTTTTGCATGACCTGAAGACTAGTTAAGGCAGGGGTCTCAAACACAAT